ACCTGCCGTCATAAAAAGTGGAGGAGTTATAGTATTCGATAAGTCTGTGACTGATACATTGTACAAGATAAAAATTTCTTCACGAATTACATTTGTAATTTTGTTAATTTTGTTTGCAAAATATGATGATTTTGCCGAATATTCCATGTTGAATAATTAGCTTTAAACTTTTGAAATATCAAGATTTATATAGAATTTCTGGAACCTATTTCGTTAATAACACTTTATTATTCCTTTTGAACATTTGGTATTGTAAAATGACTCGTTTAACGAAGATATTTACTTATTAATTTTAGTGTACAGACTATTCCTTTTTTTATCATTTATTTTGAAAGAAAATTAGATAAACTTATAACATTTGTGCTGACAACATTTTGAATAACTTAGTATAAATAGTCGTACGTAGATTTTGTTTATTTTATTTCACTATATATATATTGTATAATCTCACTATATATATATATTGTATAAATAGTGAATAACTTGTCAGACGTATATTTTGTTATATAACTTATTACACGTAGATTTTGTTTATTTTCTTTTTTTTTAATGTATTAAAGATGTTACATGATCACGAGCGAATACATAATAAAGGGTTTACAATACTTAGGAATATATAATCAAGGGTTTACAATACTTAGGAATATATAATAAAGGGTTTACAATACTTAGGAATATATAATAAAGGGTTTACAATACTTAGGAATACATAATAAAGGGTTTACAACCTTAGGAATACATAGGAAAGGGTTTACAACCTTAGGAATACATAAGAAGGGTTTACAACCTTAGGAATACATAAGAAAGGGTTTACAACCTTAGTAATGCATGAGAAAGGGTTTAAAACGCTTAGTATCACCTTAAATTCGTTTCGTGTACCCCTATATTGTAGCATTCAAAGAACATGTCATAAAATGTTACCCTGCATGATTGTATCTTGGCATGTTTCGGGGGGCTGGTGAAAAATGTATCCTGGGTACAGCTTTAATATTTGTAACATTAGTCAGAACTATAGGTGCAGAAATATTTACGTCGACACGTCTTTACATAAATATTTCTGCACCTATAGTCATGTATTTATTAACTTAATTATATTGAACTCTGATCTACATATATGAATCGGTGCTAACAATGATTGCTAACAATCATTGCTAACAATGATTGTTAATAAGCAATGATTATCATCGGAAAATCATCTACCCTACTCTTTTCAACGTCAGATCTACTTGACCTCCGCTAATCGGAGATTGAAATAAATGAGGTGGCCTATTTTCTGAGTTTTACAGTATTTACTAATTTTTTTCAAAAAAAAGAAAAAACAATTAAAGGCACCATAATTATACTTAGTGATGGGACTGCCGAGTTTTTAGTTAATAATAAAACAATTGTTAATTAGTTAATAATAGTTAAATAAT